GACTCGCCTGAACAATGGCAGCAGCAGTACCAGTCAGACAGAAAGCCCTCTGTGCTGCCACTGCCACCTCCAGGCTGCCATCCGGGTCAGCAGTGACAGAGTGACAGCAGTAGAGCCACAGGGATGCCCAGCATGGGCTCCGAGCAGCTGTAGCAGGAAGCGCTTGGCAGCAGTGAGGGGGAGGGGAAGCTGTTCCCCTGCACTGAGCAGCAGTTTCTGCCCAGCTGGGGCTGCTGCTGCCACTGTTTAGTGTGAGTAGGCAAGTCCAGAACAGATGCAAGGTGCGCCAGGTCAGGGCTGTGGTGTGGGCCCCCGTCGGTACCATGGGGCTGAGGCCAGTGGCAGCAGCACATGGAAGAAGGTGCTGCCGCCACCTTGTCTGCCTAGAAAGGTAGTCCAGCTGCAGAGCTGCCCCAGCCCTGCTGCATGCCCAGGGGCAACAGGATGCATCATGGGTGGGTGGTACAGAGGAGGTGCAGGGCGGGCTGGAGTCAAGTCTGTGGTGTAGGTTCCAGCTGGTCCACTCCTGCCAAGGTCAGTCTGGAGAGGTCATGGGTTGGAACAGGGGCTGCATGCTGCTAGTGGTGGTGGGGACACACCGCAGGGCACAAGGGCTCTGGGCTGTTGTGCAGTGGGGGCAGGGGTGGGTGCTGACCAGCTCAAGAGGGTGCATGCAGGGGGGTTCCCATGCACACCCCACCATACTCACACACCCTCCCCCACACACAATGACACACCCCTTGCACACCTCTGAAGGAAGCCCCACTCACTGCTACATGCACCCATGCCCCCCCACACACACTTCAGGCCACCCCCCCTTCACACACCCCCACATACCCCATACCCACCCACATGCACATCCCACACCCAGTCCCCCCACACACAGTCCCAGTCACCCCCTCTCCACACATCCCACAAACCCCATACACATCCACACTTCCCCACAAAGCCACCATACCTACCCACCCACATCCACACATGCCCCTACCCTCCCCTACACCCCACATACACATCCAGACACACACATCCACCCCTCCAAACCCCTACAATATACAAGAGTAAGATTTCATTTTCACCTATTATGCAATCACCTCTATATACACAATGCAAACAGGAATCAGGACAAAAATATTTTTTTAAATAAAATTTAAATAGGTAATTGTGTATTTTTGATTTTTAGTATATAATTTGGGGTTTTTTTCCCAGTTCCAAGATGGGGAAACCCACTTCCTGAACTGAGTACTTCTGGGATGAGGGGAGGGACTTCTGGTGGCAAAGGTCAGGGGTTAGGAGGCGAGACTTCTGGTCCCAAGATAGTGACTGGAAGCAGGGCACCTTTCAAGGGGCAGGGTTACCCTTGCAGCCCTTGACAGCTCGCCAGAACTAATTAAGCAGCCCTTTAGCCAAAATAGTTGTCCACCCCTCGTCTAGTTCCATCCTCTTTGGAACCACTGTTCAGATAGCTGAAGGCTGCTATTAAATTCCCCTTCAGTGTTCTCTTCTCTAGACTAAATAACCCAGTTACCTCAGCCTCTCCTCACAGTTACTGATATAGTTGGGGCTGGTCCTGCTTGGAGCAGGGGGTTGGACTAGATGGCCTCCTGAGGTCCCTTCCAATCCTAATTTTCTATGATTCTATTAAGTCATGTGCCCCAGCCCCCTAACCATTTCTGTTGACTTCCACAGGACTTTCTCCAATTTGTCCACATCCTTTCTGTAGTGGAGGGCCCCAAACTGGACACAGTACTCCAGATTTGGCCTGAATTGACTACAAAGCCCCTGCTACATGTTACATATATTACACAATTCACTGGTGAAGCACGTCATACATTTAGACCAATTTGAAATGCATCACTGGTTGCCACGTAGACTGCCAGGGTCTTTAGCACCCCCCACCCCCAAGTCAGGTTTGCATTGCTTAGAACAATAGAGAGCTTAAGCTCCCCCCACCCAGGTATGTGATGCCTGGCATGTAGGCAGAGGGAGCAAGTTGCCCCCCTCCCTCAGGAATGTATCCAGCTCAGGTTACAACTCAAGGTTACATGAAGAGAAGTGGCAGAGGAGTCTGCCCTGTGTAGTGACCACGGTAACCAAATTGTCAGGTAGCAGAGTTTGGGGAGAGACAGAGATGGTATTCTGTCACAGATGTAGTATCAGACTTAAAACTGATTTAGGTTAAATTGGTTTATTTAACTTGTCCTAGATCCCCTCCAGATTCAAGTTAACTGACAGTCCTCCAGCATCCCAGGATGATTTGTACCTCCCCTGTAAACCCCACCTCACAGAGTGGGGGAGCTTGCCCTGTCCAAGGTGTCTGCTTCAATGGAGAAAGGAGGTGTGCTCTAATGTCCCCCAGCTTCTGGCTTGAGCCACTGCAGGCATGTGGCTGCATTTCTAGAATCAAAAGTGAATGTCTGCTCCCTTGCTTCTTGGTTTAGACTACGCACTTTAACTTGCAAAAATTGAATCAATTCAGCCTTAGGCTTTTTGACTGTCTTTGCTTAGCCCAAGTGACTTAAAGCACCCCTTATATGGCTCAAAGCTAGGCCGCTCCAGGCAGGATTATCTCTTGATCCCACAACCTAGCTCCTGCTCCATTTAGGTGTGACCACTCCCCAGAGACCTGCTGCCCAAACTGAAGGTGTGACTGCTCCAAGCTTTTTCACAAATGGACTTTGAAAGCCAGAGGAACCACACCATCTTTTACCTCCCCTGTGCAACATGAAGTTTCTTTTCTACCTGGGAGAACTTTTACCATCGTTGAACTCTCCTCTGCCTGACAAAGGGTGTTTGGGCCCAAAACCCTGCAAAGAATTTTTTTTTGCTAGTTTAGGTGGTCCAATAAAAGATATCACCTTTAGCCCAAGTGTTTTATCTGCCTCTGCTTTTTAGACGAACACGGCTACAAACTATATATCCCCGTCTGCTCCAACAGCAATCAGGACTCCCTGTAGAGGCGATATCTTTTATTAGACCAACTAGATTTTTGCAAAATAAATAAACAAATAAATAAATTCTTTAATTTGCAAGCTTTCAGACACAAACACCCTTCTTCAGGCATTGGAGAAAAGATTGTGAGTCCTCCTGGGTAGAAATGACAGTTCATATTTCATAGGAGAGTTGAAGGTGTGGCATAATCTCCTGTTTGGAACAGTTCATTTTGCACACTATTCCAACTTTTCTCTGAGCCTAATCTGCATACAAAATGAACTGCTCCAAACAGGAGATTATACCACACCTTCAACTCTCCTATGAAATATGAACTTTCATTTCTACCCAGGACTCTTACCATCTTTTCTCTGATGCCTGAAAAAGGGTGTTTGTGCCTGAAAGCTTGCAAACTAAAGAATTAAAAAAATAAATTTCACAAAAATCTAGTTGGTCTAATAAAAAAATATCACCTCTACCAGGAGTCCCGATCGCTTTTTCTTCTAGGGCACTGGTTCTCAACCCCCACCCCCCCGACCACGTGAAAATCGCCGAGGGTCTGGGCGGACCGCTTTTTTTTTTATTCTACAAATCAAAGCACACAACTCATATTTTAATATCAGTAGTCTTACAAGTACAGAGATTCTCCATCGTTCCGCAACCTTTCTGCGGAGCAGTGGTGGTGCGCGGACCACAGCCGGAGAACCTCTGCTCTAGATCAATAGGGCTACAACCTGGAGACGCGACTGCTCCAAAGCACTTCAGCTGATCGACCTCTGTGCCGCTCGCAGCAAGGCGGCTCTTCACCGGAGCGGGCAGCAGGGCCCTGAACGGAGACGGGGCTGCGGCTAGTTGGAAACTTCAGGGGGACCCGAATCCAAGGCGGGCACTGGGCGCAGCGGGGCGGGGCGGGGCGGAAGGCGGGGAACAAAGGGCCGGAGGGCGGTGGGACAAAGGGAGCGCCG